TTGGGAGGCATTCTCTCTGTCGGTGTCCATGTTCTTGGGAGTGGGAAGAGTTGGGAGGCTTTCTCTGTCTCGGTGTCCAAGTTCTTGGGAGTGGGAAGAGTTGGGAGGCATTCTCTCTGTCGGTGTCCATGTTCTTGGGAGTGGGAAGAGTTGGGAGGCTTTCTCTGTCTCGGTGTCCAAGTTCTTGGGAGTGGGAAGAGTTGGGAGGCATTCTCTCTGTCGGTGTCCATGTTCTTGGGAGTGGGAAGAGTGGGGAGGCTTTCTCTGTCTCTGTGTCCATGTTCTTGGGAGTGGGAAGAGTGGGGAGGCTTTCTCTGTCTCGGTGTCCATGTTCTTGGGAGTGGGAAGAGTGGGGAGGCTTTCTCTGTCTCTGTGTCCATGTTCTTGGGAGTGGGAAGAGTTGGGAGGCATTCTCTCTGTCGGTGTCCATGTTCTTGGGAGTGGGAAGAGTTGGGAGGCTTTCTCTGTCTCGGTGTCCAAGTTCTTGGGAGTGGGAAGAGTTGGGAGGCATTCTCTCTGTCGGTGTCCATGTTCTTGGGAGTGGGAAGAGTGGGGAGGCTTTCTCTGTCTCTGTGTCCATGTTCTTGGGAGTGGGAAGAGTGGGGAGGCTTTCTCTGTCTCGGTGTCCATGTTCTTGGGAGTGGGAAGAGTGGGGAGGCTTTCTCCGTCTCGGTGTCCATGTTCTTGGGAGTGGGAAGAGTGGGGAGGCTTTCTCTGTCTCTGTGTCCATGTTCTTGGGAGTGGGAAGAGTTGGGAGGCATTCTCTCTGTCGGTGTCCATGTTCTTGGGAGTGGGAAGAGTGGGGAGGCATTCTCTCTGTCGGTGTCCATGTTCTTGGGAGTGGGAAGAGTGGGGAGGCTTTCTCTGTCTCTGTGTCCATGTTCTTGGGAGTGGGAAGAGTTGGGAGGCTTTCTCTGTCTCTGTGTCCATGTTCTTGGGAGTGGGAAGAGTTGGGAGGCATTCTCTCTGTCGGTGTCCATGTTCTTGGGAGTGGGAAGAGTTGGGAGGCTTTCTCTGTCTCGGTGTCCATGTTCTTGGGAGTGGGAAGAGTGGGGAGGCTTTCTCTGTGTCGGTGTCCATGTTCTTGGGAGTGGGAAGAGTGGGGAGGCTTTCTCTCTGTCGGTGTCCATGTTCTTGGGAGTGGGAAGAGTGGGGAGGCTTTCTCTGTCTCTGTGTCCATGTTCTTGGGAGTGGGAAGAGTTGGGAGGCATTCTCTCTGTCGGTGTCCATGTTCTTGGGAGTGGGAAGAGTTGGGAGGCTTTCTCTGTCTCGGTGTCCATGTTCTTGGGAGTGGGAAGAGTTGGGAGGCTTTCTCTGTCTCGGTGTCCATGTTCTTGGGAGTGGGAAGAGTTGGGAGGCTTTCTCTGTCTCGGTGTCCATGTTCTTGGGAGTGGGAAGAGTTGGGAGGCATTCTCTGTCTCGGTGTCCATGTTCTTGGGAGTGGGAAGAGTTGGGAGGCATTCTCTGTCTTGGTGTCCATGTTCTTGGGAGTGGGAAGAGTTGGGAGGCTTTCTCTGTCTCTGTGTCCATGTTCTTGGGAGTGGGAAGAGTGGGGAGGCTTTCTCTGTCTCGGTGTCCATGTTCTTGGGAGTGGGAAGAGTTGGGAGGCTTTCTCTGTCTCGGTGTCCATGTTCTTGGGAGTGGGAAGAGTGGGGAGGCTTTCTCTGTCTCGGTGTCCATGTTCTTGGGAGTGGGAAGAGTGGGGAGGCATTCTCTGTCTCTGTGTCCATGTTCTTGGGAGTGGGAAGAGTGGGGAGGCATTCTCTGTCTCTGTGTCCATGTTCTTGGGAGTGGGAAGAGTGGGGAGAGGGCAATTTTATGCTGCGCCTAGTTCCTCTAGATCTGGGCGTAACAGTGAACATAGCCGTGGGAACATGTTTCAAATGGGGGGTGCTGTGGGGATGACACCAGGGCCGGTTCTGACCAATTTGCTGCCCTAGGCAAGATTTTAGCTGGCACCGCCCCCCCCCCCCCCCACAAGCCTGAAAAACGTACAGTAGAAAAGATAAAGATCGATAGAGTATCCAAGGAATACACAATAGAATATATAAAGAAAAAAGGAAAAACCTACAAAAGACCAACACACTACAAAAACAGAAACGTATTGACATGTTGGACAGCTTATATAAAAAGGCTTCAAATGTATTTAGTATTGTATTAACATGTTTTAACACGTCACATCCTCTAAGGGGGTCCGGGGGTCTGCCCCCCCGGGAAGAATGTTTTTGACATTTCAAAGTAAAATGCTTCAATCTGGAGCACTTTGAGCATAATTACAAGAGACTGGATCTAGGGGGGACAACTCTAAAACACCCATCTGAAGAAGATCGGTTTACATTTTAATAACCAAATAAGTATGTGAACATAACCAATAACCCATAGCCAATAACAAATCAATGTAACGTGTTGTATTTTTGTTGTTCATTCATATCTTATTTTACCTAGTTAACATTTATTAATTAATGCATATTTTTTAATCTCTCCAGTTTTAAAGGATATTTCTGGTTTACTGTCCTTTAGCTCAGGGGTTCCCAACCCCCGGTCCGCGGACCGGTACCGGAGGTGTTACTGCCGGGCCGCGAAATAGCTGTGAGTTTATCGTAATATTTGCAGAATTATAATAATAATAATAATTATTATAATATACATTATTTGAGATATATTTCAAACTCGGACTTCATTTTAAGGACATGTCGGCCAGGGGTGTAGTATCTGCTGCCCGCAGCTGCTTTATAGAAGGAACACCTCCTTCACTTCATGAAATGGCTGCAGCACCAGGAGGCAGCGGGACGTGTACTCCGCCTCTGAGAAGAGAAGCATCAGCGGGTAAAGAGCTGTGCCTTTTTACGCACCGCCTTCGCTGTGTTTACCTTCATTAGAACAGCTAGAGTGACTGCAGGCTGCTACGTGTTAACCACACACACCTCTACACACACACACACACCTCTACACACACACACACCTCTACACACACACACACCTCTACACACACACACACACACACCTCTACACACACACACACACACCTCTACACCACACACACACCTCTACACACACACACACACACACCGACCGCATACACACACACACACCACACACACACACCTCTACACACACACACCTCTACACACACACACACACACACACCTCTACACACACACACCTCTACACACACACACACCTCTACACACACACACACACACCTCTACACACACACACACACACCTCTACACACACACACCTCTACACACACCTCTACACACACACACACACACCTCTACACACACACACACACCTCTACACACACACACACACACCTCTACACACACACACACACCTCTACACATATCGACCTGCCCGATTACTCCCCCTTTTATTAGTTTTATGAAGGAGATGTCCAGTCAGTCACCAAGGCGCATGATGTGTGTGTGTATGTGCTCAGCTCAGCTCTGTGTGTTCGGTGTGTTTGTGTCTGTCCAACACCGGCATTTGTTTTCAAATGTTTATGAACAGTAATTTACACACATATGGCTAACTCCATATATGCAGCTGTTCCCAAAATAAATTAGTTTAATCTTAATCTCGATGTAGTGCTAAATGCTTGGCACAATAAAGGTTGGGAACCCCTGATGTAGTATACACTGGAATGATTTCAAACCTGTTGTTATTTATCCTAATAATTATAAAGGAGTGCCTTGGAAATATGTGTTTACATAAATTGTGATCGAACCGTTTGAGAGCCACTGAGATAACTTAGACTAAAGTGAACTATCTAAACCCTCAGAGTCCTTTACCTCACTGAGCCTCTCAGGGCAAATGGAAAATGTAACCGGGGTGAAAAGGGTGTTATCTTTACTTAATTATGAATGTTGTTACATTAATGCCGAAAATTAGTTTTTTTTGTATTATATTTCCATTTAATCTTGTGGGCGTGCAGATTCCCTGTCCTCCATCAGGGGGCGCTGCAGCACCCTCAGCACCCCTACTTCCCATGGCCATGGCATCTAACGTTCCGCTGTTCATTAAAAAAACAGCGCATTAAACAAACCATCATGCTCTTACTTTGAAAATCATGCGGAAATGTCGTCATCAGCAGGCCATCACGTGGCTTCCGAAAATAACCGAGTGACACGAGTAGATTTTAGCCGAGACCGGCGGAAAGGTTGTCTCAAAACTCCGTGTGTAAAAAGACGATCCACAAGCAGAAATGTGAGATCCACAATACAAATTTTTGGTTGACAAATACAAATTGGCAAATGCCTGATCGAAAGTTGTAAATGTTAAAGAGATATTCAAAGATCTTTTTTTTATTTGTAAAAATATTTTGCGCATTTGCAGATCCGTTTTACATTTGCAAATCTTTGAAATGCATTTGTGGATGGTGTTTTACATTTACAAATCACATATTTACACACAAATTATTTTTCTGTTCACACAAATAATGATGAGACATATCTAAGCCCAAAGTACTTTCACGGGAGAAAAAGGTTCCTATGTCTGATTGGCTGGGCGGAATGCAAACCACGCCCCGTAAAACTCCCCGTGAAGCCGCCATTTTATTTTCCTCGCATTAGCATTATTAGCATTAGCATTCGCCCAGTGCACCAACGCAGAGAGACTAACTTATGGCAACACAAAAGAAAACATGGGAGCGGTGGAGATGAGGAGGTGTCGGCGTTCTGGCGATTTCCTCTGAAGGCTTCAGTAGAAGCTGCTGGGAGTAGCTTCTACTGAAGCCTTCCCCAACTCCGGGGACTTCCGGCCGGGGACTCCGGGTGGCAGTATACGCCGTGAAGTGGTTTGCTGCCTGCCAGTAAACCCAAAGCAGCAGAAGAAGAAGTGACGTCAGCGGCTTCATTTGCCTAATCCTCCCTCAGGGACTTATTCCAGTGTACATTTGCACACGTATTTTTATATTTTTATATACATTGTATTATTTCGATCTCTCACACACAAACTGAACGATTGACAATAAAGTTGACTTTGACTTTGATAATCACCTGTTTACATCAGCAGCAGGGGGCGGGGCTTGTACAGGACACCTGGCATAAAGGGGTGTGTCCTTCTGGAAGGCCTGCCTCATCTCTGACATCAGCAGTGATAAACTGGACACGCCCTAACAGGAAGTGACAACATTACATTTCATTTAGCTGACGCTTTTATCCAAAGCGACTTACAGTGACCCATTACAGGGACATTCTCCCTGGAGTAACTGAGGACTAAGAGCCTTACTCAAGGGCGCACTAGTGGTGGTGTTCCTGGCGGGATTTGAACTCACAACCTTCTGATCTTCAGCCCACCTCACTATCCATTAAACCACCACTATCCACAACATAATTATGACATCAACTTCATTACTTCATATAAAAAGCAACTCAGTGGGTCAGGTGGTCTTTCCCAGGTCAGGTGGTGTTACCCGGGTCAGGTGGTCTTTCCTGGGTCAGGTGGTTTTACCTGGGTCAGGTGGTCTTTCCTGGATCAGGTGGTTTTACCTGGGTCAGGTGGTTTTACCTGGGTCAGGTGGTCTTTCCTGGGTCAGGTGGTTTTACCTGGGTCAGGTGGTCTTTCCTGGGTCAGGTGGTCTTTCCTGGATCAGGTGGTTTTACCTGGGTCAGGTGGTCTTTCCTGGGTCAGGTGGTTTTACCTGGTTCAGGTGGTCTCAGTGAGTCAGGTGGTTTTACCTGGGTCAGGTGGTCTTACCTGGGTCAGGTGGTCTCAGTGAGTCAGTTGGTTTTACCTGGGTCAGGTGGTCTCAGTGGGTCAGGTGGTCTTACCTAGGTCAGGTGGTCTCAGTGGGCCAGGTGGTCTTACCTGGGTCCAGCTGCTCAGGACCGGCAGACGGATGTTTCCGGAAACTTCATCCACGCAGCAGCACATTGGGTTGATCACCATGGAGACGGAGGGGCAGACGAGACAGCGGGGGGGCGACAGGGGGTGGGTCTCATGCAGCCAGATGCACACTGGGAAATTATACCCACTTCCTGTGAACACATGAGCCCTCTGTGAACACATGAACCTACACATGAACACTGTGGAAACATGAACCCACTGTGAACACATGAACCCCCGGTGAACACATGAACCCCCGGTGAACACATGAACCCCCGGTGAACACATGAACCCCCGGTGAACACATGAACCCACTGTGAACACATGAACCCCCGGTGAACACATGAACCCACTGTGAACACATGAACCCCCGGTGAACACATGAACCCACTGTGAACACATGAACCCACTGTGAACACATGAACCCACTGTGAACACATGAACCTACACATGAACACTGTGGAAACATGAACCCACTGTGAACACATGAACCCCCTGTGAACACATGAACCCCCTGTGAACACATGAACCTACACATGAACACTGTGGAAACATGAACCCACTGTGAACACATGAACCCCCGGTGAACACATGAACCCCCGGTGAACACATGAACCCCCGGTGAACACATGAACCCCCGGTGAACACATGAACCCCCTGTGAACACATGAACCCCCGGTGAACACATGAACCCCCGGTGAACACATGAACCCCCGGTGAACACATGAACCCCCGGTGAACACATGAACCCCCTGTCAACACATGAACTACCTGTGAACACATGAACCCCCGGTGAACACATGAACCCCCGGTGAACACATGAACCCCCGGTGAACACATGAACCCCCTGTGAACACATGAACCCCCGGTGAACACATGAACCCCCGGTGAACACATGAACCCCCTGTGAACACATGAACCCACTGTGAACACATGAACCCCGTGTGAACACATGAACCCACTGTGAACACATGAACCCCCGGTGAACACATGAACCCCCGGTGAACACATGAACCCCCGGTGAACACATGAACCCCCTGTGAACACATGAACCCCCGGTGAACACATGAACCCCCGGTGAACACATGAACCCCCGGTGAACACATGAACCCCCTGTGAACACATGAACTCCCGGTGAACACATGAACCCCGTGTGAACACATGAACTACCTGTGAACACATGAACCCCCTGTGAACACATGAACTACCTGTGAACACATGAACGCCGTGTGAACACATGAACCCCGTGTGAACACATGAACCCACTGTGAACACATGAACCCCGTGTGAACACATGAACCCCCTGTGAACACATGAACCCCCTGTGAACACATGAACTACCTGTGAACACATGAACCCACTGTGAACACATGAACCCACTGTGAACACATGAACTACCTGTGAACACATGAACCCCGTGTGAACACATGAACCCCCGGTGAACACATGAACCCCCTGTGAACACATGAACCCCCTGTGAACACATGAACCCCGTGTGAACACATGAACCCACTGTGAACACATGAACCCCCGGTGAACACATGAACCCCCTGTGAACACATGAACCCCCCGGTGAACACATGAACCCCCGGTGAACACATGAACCCCCGGTGAACACATGAACCCCCTGTGAACACATGAACTCCCGGTGAACACATGAACCCCCTGTGAACACATGAACCCCCTGTGAACACATGAACCCCCGGTGAACACATGAACCCCCTGTGAACACATGAACTCCCGGTGAACACATGAACCCCCTGTGAACACATGAACCCCCTGTCAACACATGAACTACCTGTGAACACATGAACCCCGTGTGAACACATGAACCCACTGTGAACACATGAACCCCGTGTGAACACATGAACCCCCGGTGAACACATGAACCCCCGGTGAACACATGAACCCCCTGTGAACACATGAACCCCCTGTGAACACATGAACCCCCGGTGAACACATGAACTCCCGGTGAACACATGAACCCCCTGTGAACACATGAACCCCCTGTGAACACATGAACCCCCTGTGAACACATGAACCCACTGTGAACACATGAACCCCCTGTGAACACATGAACTACCTGTGAACACATGAACCCACTGTGAACACATGAACCCACTGTGAACACATGAACTACCTGTGAACACATGAACCCCCTGTGAACACATGAACCCACTGTGAACACATGAACCCCCGGTGAACACATGAACCCCCTGTGAACACATGAACCCCGTGTGAACACATGAACCCACTGTGAACACATGAACCCCCGGTGAACACATGAACCCCCTGTGAACACATGAACCCCCGGTGAACACATGAACCCCCTGTGAACACATGAACCCCGTGTGAACACATGAACCCCCTGTGAACACATGAACCCCGTGTGAACACATGAACCCACTGTGAACACATGAACCCCCTGTGAACACATGAACCCCCGGTGAACACATGAACCCCCTGTGAACACATGAACTCCCGGTGAACACATGAACCCCCTGTGAACACATGAACCCCCTGTCAACACATGAACTACCTGTGAACACATGAACCCCGTGTGAACACATGAACCCACTGTGAACACATGAACCCCGTGTGAACACATGAACCCCCGGTGAACACATGAACCCCCTGTGAACACATGAACTACCTGTGAACACATGAACCCACTGTGAACACATGAACCCACTGTGAACACATGAACCCCCTGTGAACACATGAACTACCTGTGAACACATGAACTACCTGTGAACACATGAACCCACTGTGAACACATGAACTACCTGTGAACACATGAACCCCGTGTGAACACATGAACCCCCTGTGAACACATGAACCCCCTGTGAACCCATGAACTACCTGTGAACACATGAACCCCGTGTGAACACATGAACCCACTGTGAACACATGAACTACCTGTGAACACATGAACCCCGTGTGAACACATGAACCCACTGTGAACACATGAACCCCGTGTGAACACATGAACCCACTGTGAACACATGAACCCACTGTGAACACATGAACCCCGTGTGAACACATGAACCCACTGTGAACACATGAACCCACTGTGAACACATGAACCCCGTGTGAACACATGAACCCCCTGTGAACACATGAACCCCCTGTGAACACATGAACCCCCTGTGAACACATGAACCCCCTGTGAACACATGAACCCACTGTGAACACATGAACCCACTGTGAACACATGAACCCCGTGTGAACACATGAACCCCCTGTGAACACATGAACTACCTGTGAACACATGAACTCCCGGTGAACACATGAACCCCCTGTGAACACATGAACCCACTGTGAACACATGAACCCACTGTGAACACATGAACCCCGTGTGAACACATGAACCCCCTGTGAACACATGAACCCACTGTGAACACATGAACCCCCTGTGAACACATGAACTACCTGTGAACACATGAACCCCCTGTGAACACATGAACCCACTGTGAACACATGAACCCCCTGTGAACACATGAACCCCCTGTGAACACATGAACCCCCTGTGAACACATGAACTACCTGTGAACACATGAACTACCTGTGAACACATGAACCCCCTGTGAACACATGAACCCCCTGTGAACACATGAACCCACTGTGAACACATGAACCCACTGTGAACACATGAACCCCGTGTGAACACATGAACCCCCTGTGAACACATGAACCCACTGTGAACACATGAACCCCCTGTGAACACATGAACCCACTGTGAACACATGAACTACCTGTGAACACATGAACCCCCTGTGAACACATGAACCCACTGTGAACACATGAACCCCCTGTGAACACATGAACCCCTGTGAACCATGACCCCTGTGAACACATGAACCCCCTGTGAACACATGAACCCCCTGTGAACACATGAACTACCTGTGAACACATGAACTACCTGTGAACACATGAACCCCCTGTGAACACATGAACCCCCTGTGAACACATGAACCCACTGTGAACACATGAACCCCCGTGTGAACACATGAACCCCCTGTGAACACATGAACCCACTGTGAACACATGAACCCCCTGTGAACACATGAACCCACTGTGAACACATGAACTACCTGTGAACACATGAACCCCCTGTGAACACATGAACCCACTGTGAACACATGAACCCCCTGTGAACACATGAACCCCCTGTGAACACATGAACCCCCCTGTGAACACATGAACCCCCTGTGAACACATGAACTACCTGTGAACACATGAACCCCCTGTGAACACATGAACCCCCTGTGAACACATGAACCCCCTGTGAACACATGAACCCACTGTGAACACATGAACCCCCTGTGAACACATGAACCCCCTGTGAACACATGAACCCCCTGTGAACACATGAACCCCCTGTGAACACATGAACCCCCTGTGAACACATGAACCCCCTGTGAACACATGAACTACCTGTGAACACATGAACCCCCTGTGAACACATGAACCCCCTGTGAACACATGAACCCCCTGTGAACACATGAACCCCCGGTGAACACATGAACCCCCTGTGAACACATGAACCCCCTGTGAACACATGAACCCCCGGTGAACACATGAACCCCCTGTGAACACATGAACCCCCGGTGAACACATGAACCCCCTGATCAAAGTCATAGATCACAAGGAAACCAGATGAATTAATGAATGACTAAGTGAGTAAATGAATAAATGAAAAGATGATTAAATTAATTAATTAATGAGTGAATAAACAAATGAGTAAATGAATGAGTGACCTTCATACTGAACAGGAAGAGTTCCTGCCAAAAACACCAGCTTCTTCTTCTCCTTGTTAGGAAAACCTGTCAAAGAATTAACACGTTCATCACCAACACATTCATCACCAACACATTCATCACTGTTCATCATTAACACGTTCATCATTAACACGTTCATCATTAACACGTTCATCAGTAACACGTTCATCACCAACACGTTCATCACCAACACGTTCATCACCAACACGTTCATCACCAACACGTTCATCAGTAACACGTTCATCACCAACACGTTCATCAGTAACACGTTCATCACCAACACGTTCATCACCAACACGTTCATCACCAACACGTTCATCAGTAACACGTTCATCACCAACACGTTCATCACCAACACGTTCATCAGTAACACGTTCATCACCAACACGTTCATCAGTAACACGTTCATCACCAACACGTTCATCACCAACACGTTCATCAGGAACACGTTCATCACTAACACGTTCATCACTAACACGTTCATCACAAACACGTTCATCAGTAACACGTTCATCAGTAACACGTTCATCACTAACACGTTCATCACCAACACGTTCATCAGTAACACGTTCATCACCAACACGTTCATCACCAACACGTTCATCAGTAACAAGTTCATCACCAACACGTTCATCACCAACACGTTCATCAGTAACACGTTCATCAGTAACACGTTCATCACTAACACGTTCATCACAAACACGTTCATCAGTAACACGTTCATCACAAACACGTTCATCAGTAACGCGTTCATCACCAACGCGTTCATCACCAACGCGTTCATCACCAACGCGTTCATCACCAACGCGTTCATCAGTAACGCGTTCATCACTAACGCGTTATCACTAACGCGTTCATCACTAACGCGTTCATCAGTAACGCGTTCATCACCAACGCGTTCATCACCAACGCGTTCATCACCAACGCGTTCATCAGTAACGCGTTCATCACCAACGCGTTCATCACCAACGCGTTCATCACCAACGCGTTCATCACCAACGCGTTCATCAGTAACGCGTTCATCACTAACGCGTTCATCACTAACGCGTTCATCTCTAACGCGTTCATCACAAACGCGTTCATCACAAACGCGTTCATCACCAACGCGTTCATCACCAACGCGTTCATCACAAACGCGTTCATCAGTAACGCGTTCATCACAAACGCGTTCATCAGTAACGCGTTCATCACCAACGCGTTCATCACCAACGCGTTCATCACCAACGCGTTCATCACCAACGCGTTCATCACCAACGCGTTCATCACCAACGCGTTCATCAGTAACGCGTTCATCACTAACGCGTTCATCAGTAACACGTTCATCACTAACACGTTCATCAGTAACACGTTCATCACTAACACGTTCATCACTAACACGTTCATCACCAACACGTTCATCACCAACACGTTCATCACCAACACGTTCATCACCAACACGTTCATCAGTAACACGTTCATCACTAACACGTTCATCAGTAAAACGTTCATCATTAACACGTTCATCACCAACGCGTTCATCACCAACACGTTCATCAGTAACACGTTCATCACTAACACGTTCATCACTAACACGTTCATCAGTAAAACGTTCATCAGTAACACGTTCATCACCAACACGTTCATCAGTAACACGTTCATCAGTAACACGTTCATCAGTAACACGTTCATCATTAACACGTTCATCAGTAACACGTTCATCAGTAACACGTTCATCATTAACACGTTCATCACTAACACGTTCATCACTAACACGTTCATCACTAACACGTTCATCACTTCATGTGGATGAATGGATGAATGTATGTATAAACGATGAATGGATGATGAATGGATGAATGTATAAACGATGAATGGATGAGAATGAATGGATGAATGTACTCACAGTAGAAGTCGGTGTAATGTATAGACAATTAATGGATGATGAATGTATAAACGATGAATGGAAAGACAATGAATGGATGATGGATGATGGATGAATGTATGTATAAACGATGAATGAATGGATGGATGAATGGATGAACGGATGAATGTATAAACGATGAATGAATGATGAATGGATGATGGATGGATGAATGTATAAACGATGAATGGATGATGAATGGATGATGGATGGATGAATGTATAAACGGATGAATGATATGAATGGATGCATGTATAAACGATGAATGGATGATGAATGGATGAATGTACTCACAGTAGAAGTCGCTGTAGAGCCTCAGGTCAGAGAACAGAGCGCGAGCCTCCCGGAGGTCAGACAGAGTGGCTTCTGGGTAACTGTACCCACACTGGGGGATATGACAATAAGCAGTATTTAATAACATCTTATTCCTTTCAATGTGAACATACTTATATCCTCCTGGGACCCAGCCCATTGACACATGTCCACTGCACAGAGGACATCTATCAGTCTCTGATGTACTGCACAGAGGACATCTATCAGTCTCTGATGCACTGCACAGAGGACATCTATCAGTCTCTGATGCACTGCACAGAGGACATCTATCAGTCTCTGATGCACTGCACAGAGGACATCTATCAGTCTCTGATGTACTGCACAGAGGACATCTATCAGTCTCTGATGCACTGCACAGAGGACATCTATCAGTCTCTGATGTACTGCACAGAGGACATCTATCAGTCTCTGATTGCACTGCACAGAGACATCTATCAGTCTCTGATGTACTGCACAGAGGGACATCCTATCAGTCTCTGATGCACTGCACAGAGGACATCTATCAGTCTCTGATGTACTGCACAGAGGACATCTATCAGTCTCTGATGTACTGCACAGAGGACATCTATCAGTCTCTGATGCACTGCACAGAGGACATCTATCAGTCTCTGATGTACTGCACAGAGGACATCTATCAGGTCTCTGTGCACTGCACAAGAGGACATCTATCAGTGGGGTCATGAGGCACTCTCAGTACATCGACTACAGGTCTCTGAGATCTGGGGTCATGAGGCACTCTCAGTACATCGACTACAGGTCTCTGGAGATCTGGGGTCATGAGACACTCTCAGTACATCGACTACAGGTCTCTGGAGATCTGGGGTCATGAGGCACTCTCAGTACATCGACTACAGGTCTCTGGAGATCTGGGGTCATGAGGCACTCTCAGTACATCGACTACAGGTCTCTGGAGATCTGGGGTCATGAGGCACTCTCAGTACATCGACTACAGGTCTCTGGAGATCTGGAGTCATGAGGCACTCTCAGTACATCGACTACAGGTCTCTGGAGATCTGGGGTCATGAGGCACTCTCAGTACATCGACTACAGGTCTCTGGAGATCTGGGGTCATGAGGCACTCTCAGTACATCGACTACAGGTCTCTGGAGATCTGGGGTCATGAGGCACTCTCAGTACATCGACTACAGGTCTCTGGAGATCTGGGGTCATGAGGCACTCTCAGTACATCGACTACAGGTCTCTGGAGAACACTGACTGCCTTTTATAGGAGGCCTCAGATCTTCATTGGCTGGCACATACCATTATCATTATCTAAGCAAACAATTTACCACAACTATATAAACATTTACTAAATATTTCCCCACCAATTTACCAATAATATACACATGAATAAAGCTATGACAATATACATTAAAGGGGACCTATCATGCAAAATGCACTTTGTGATGTCTTTTATACATCAACATGTGTCCCCGGTGCGTCGGGGAACTCACGCAGCGTCAGAAAATAAAACCCTCTCTCTTTTCCTCCGTACCCAAATCTTTTAAAAACAGGTGTACAACGAGCGGATACAGATTTCCATCCGAGGTGACGGCGGCGGACCCACAGAAAGTTGCTATCAGAAACAATGCCTGACGTGATTTGGACGTAATCTCGTCTTTGTTTACATTAGCAAGCGTCGCTAACACTCAGAGCTAACCTGTACTGGAGAGCACATGTGTTTAAAAAGCAGGAAATAAAAAAGAACTCACCTTGTGATAAACCCGCAAGAGAAAAAGCATTTGAGCTCCATACTATTTCAGAAATAATTTCAAGCTAAGGACCCAAGATCCGCATTTCTCTAACGGCCCGTCCACACAGCAGCGTTAAAAAAATCTTGGAGGTGGGCGTATCTGAAGCTTGGGGATTTTTTGCGAGCAAGGCACCAACAACCAATCACATGAATCTCCCGCCCCCGACATACGAAGCAAAAAAGTTTGAAGTAAAGTGGATATAAACTCCCCAAACAGGCGAAGACCTACCACTGTCTCTGCCACCTCCCTCCATGCCTGGCTCCTCCGGTTTGTATCCCGGTAGGTAAATAGGGACTGGTCATAAAGCACCGGGTGATTCCCTACCGCTTCATTTCTCCTCATGTTTTGGAATATGAGGAAATGACCTGCGGTATGTCTCTCCCAGCATACACGCCGTTTGATTGGCTAGAGCTTGAACTGTCGATTTGCATACACGGGATTTGATTGGCTGACGCTTCCACCTCAGCTTCAAAAGTTGAACATTGCTCAACTTGAATCCTGAAATCCTGAAATCTCCGCTCTGCTGCCCACAGGGGGCGGCGCCAGGGGGTAGCTTTAAACAATTAACAATTAACAATTGGCCTAGCAACGGCTTAGCAACCCCATTGTTTTGTTATGAAAATGTAATCTATATATATTTATACACATTCTCGCGAGATCTATCAGGGGTCGTTGTAAGTTAAAGCGCAAACTGTTACTTGGCTAATGTTTGTTATAATTCTCCAACGGAGCCCTGTGTGTGGTGTGTGTGTGTGTGTGTGTGTGTGTGTCTGTTTGCGGTGAGGTGATGCGCTATTGTGTACGCTTAGGGTGTAATGGTATTATACACACATATTGTAGGAGCACAGAAACAGTGTTCAAAATTCTGCTTTTACAAACTTATTTTGGTTGTGCTTACCTTGCAAAGTAATGTTATAAGTGTCAAAGGAATGTTTTAATGTAAATATTAATGATAATATTGTAGCGTGTCCAAGTTAATAGTTATTTCAGTTATCAGATGTGCAGTTTAGTACATTTGTAAAGTTATTTAGGCAATGTTGTTGGTGGGAGTTAGGGAGAGACCGCCCCTTCCAGGTGTGTGTGTGTGTGTAGGGAGTAGAGACGGTAGGGGTTGTGTTGGAGTGTGGGGAAAAGTCATAATGAGTGTTATACTATTGATTGGCTCTGTAAGGCGTGGCTGTGGCCGTCAGTACCATAAAATAAAGAGAACGTTTTGGACATTGAAGGCTCGTGATCTGTGATCTTGAATAGCGGTGAACGTGACAATATGAACAGGCTCGTGCTTGGCCCACTGGTATTGTTTGTTTATTTATTTTGAAAATGAACTAGCAACACCGTGCTGTCATATAGTAACTGCTAAGCTACTGCAGCAAAAAAATCCTGGCGCCGCCCATGGCTGCCCACAATGCAGTTCGGCGAAAAGTGAGGCAAAGTGACGTCACCCCATTCAAAGTGAATGGGCAGAAGCGTTCCAAGATTTTGTTAACGCTGCTGTGTGGACGCTCCGTAACAGGGCTGCAAAAGAGGGGTTTGAGCAGTATGAGGCATGGCTACAATGGGTGATCTGTTTGGTATTTTTTTTTAAAACCTTCACAGACATGTTTTGTATAGGTATGGCCCTAAATAAAACTTGATTTGATTTGATTTTGACAATATATTTTTCAAATATAGCATGATAGATATTTTTATTTAAAGTGGACCTATGTGCAAAAATGTCGACCTCCCCCCTGGAGACTACCACTTGCCGTTTCCCTCCCGGAACTATATTTAGAGGTGTGCGGGCCCGGGGGAACTCTTTTGCCCGAACACCCTGGGAGAGAGAACAGACAGAGGTAAGTTTAATCATCACACAACCAATCACTAATTCTCACGTTTACTTCATGAACAATCCTCGCTACCCGTACTGTTAGCAATGTATGAATATGCGCATTTGAACCGTATCCATTTCTTTACTCGGGCGAATAGCGAGCAGGAACAGCCCGGCGTCCGCGCTGCATGACACGAGACTCCCCCACACAACAATGCAATTCAATCAATTGTCAATAAACATATTTATACATTAATAAAGTGTGTTCATTTAAATCATGTGCCAATACTGTGTCAATATACCCTATACAGTACAATGATTATATCAACATGTTAACGTGAGCTCTAGTAACGGCGTCTTGTCATTACATTCGCCCCCTCTTCTCCTAAAGCGCACAGTACCTCAGTTTTCATGTACCCGGGATAGACAGTCTGCCACCAAGTTGGCTTTCCCGGCCCGATACTCAGGGCCGGCCCTAGACTTTTGGGGGCCCTAAGCGAGCTTTGGCTTGGGGCCCCCCCTCACTCTAGCGCGTTCTCACTTCACACAACACAGAACCAACTTTTGTCTTATGATGTTAGCATAAGCACATATTGTATAAATAAGCATGTAAACACCGTGGACCTAACATCCTCTAGGGGGGGTCCTCACCTCCTCTAGGGGGGTCCAGGGGCATGCTCGCCCGGGAAGATTTTTTTTTAAATATTGAAGTTAAAAGCATCAATCTGGTGCACTTTGAGAGCAAAATGAAGAGATCTATGGATACATCTCTCAACACCCATATGAAACAGAACTGGAAACAGATGTTTCTTTATGGATATTTTACAAATCACTCCCCTTTTAAACTGTATTCTTATTTTACTGTCATATAGTATTTCATAACTGTTTTTCCTTTATTCTCTCTGGCTGTCCATCTCATAATGTTCACATAGAAACTAGCTGTCAATAGGAATATCATTCAGAAGAATTATAATTTCTTGCAAAGATCTGTCACAAAAAGAGGTTGCCCATTTACATTCAGGTGTTGTTATGGCAACGTCAGTTGCCAAACAGCCCACATGTACTGCTGCAAATACGTTCAAACATGCTGTCGACACGTAAAGCAGTGGCAACTATGCCACCATTTCAGCTGACTTTTCCTCAGAAATACTGTCACATAACATCCATATGTTTCAGTGCTAGGTTGATGCTTAGCTAAGCTAACTATGAAACACTTGAACTGACAGGACTCCGGATCAACTGTGTACTGTAAGGTAGCTTCTAGCTTCACGTCGAACAGTAAGTCAACATTTTCCAGAGAGCTTTCTTTGAAATCACCAGGTAACGCTAAAAAACATTACATTTAGATTGTATGACAAAGTGTTTTATTTAATATATCTGGCTAGCTATAGCTTACTTGCTAACGGTTTAGCTTACCCCCGCGATTCAAAGTAACGTCAACGTAGCTGTAATTTCTCCTGGCTCGAGTGCTGGCTCTGGGGTTGGTGTGTG